ACATATGTCAAATTCAAGGCCCGAAAGCCACATCCAGCCCGCAGCACAATTCTTTGCAGCCCATAAAATGATTTTGGTATGAAATCGCCCAGAAATAGAGGTGTGATGGCACACAATTCAAGGTTTGGTACAAACCATGCTTTTTGGTTTATGGTTCCATGGTTCAATTTTGGCACAGCAGGGAAAACTGAATTTGACTTGAAATTATTTATTACTAAAACTGCAACACCAGTGATCTATTAAGTTGTTTACAGTATAGGTTCATGTGTTACGTTGCACGGACTACAGCATGTCTGGCCTTCTGCGTGTTCTCGTCTGGTTTCCGTATTCTTTCCCAAGCCACTCTCTGTTTGTGTTATTAAAGGCTGGTTAACGTTCAGAGAAGTGTGGCCGTGAGTTATCCCAATCACTGGTGCAAACACAGTTAGGAATAATTGTAAAACACAGGCAATTTGTCTGACATTAACATACCTGAATAACAAAACCTAAGGGATGCTTATTTGCACATTGTAAATATAAATGTTAAATAAAAATAAAAAAATAAGACTGCATAAGATTCAAGATTCAATTCTTTATTGTCATTGTACATGACAGTACAGAAGTGGCAACCAAAGTGGCACAAAGGAAACACAAGACAGGACAAGACATGTGACACAGCAATATGTACAAATACGGAATAGTCAGTAAATATGGTGTTGCTGTGTGTCAGCGGGGAAGTCAAATTGTATTCAGATGTTAAAGCTACAAAAAACTAATTTATAGCCTACATCGGGGTACCCCAAAACACAATGTAATCCAGAACCTGCCCCACCCAGACCAACAAAATATAACAACGGGGCCCTCTCCTGGTCGCCAAGGCAGACCTCAGCCTTGTGTCGATGATGAAATTTGGATCTCAGAGAAAAATAATGTGGTACCTCTGGCCTACATCATAATTTTGCATTGCAAAATTGACCTATTATTGTTTCTGTTGTCCAACAAAGATCATCAGAATTTTTTTTATTTTTTTTTTACATTCTGTTCTGGGCGACTTCCATGTCTGTTACAGATTAGCTGCCACAAGTTCAAATGAAGAATGATGTAGAAAATAAGAAATGGGTCAGAGCATTTGTTAAACGAGATTATAAACTACTTCAGTCACGAAGGGTTTCAAAAAACACTCGCTGATTTAACTTGATTTTTATTAAGAGATAATGACATTCTTAGCGTTTCAAAGCTTTTGGGAAACGCCACTGGTACAGCCATTCCATTGCAAAGACAGCCCTCTGGTGACCATTGGCAGTAACTGCATGTGTTTGTCCACTTAAGTTCTGGCAGTTTGGGGAGTGGCTGGACGTGGTCATCGATGACAGACTGCCAGTGAAAGATGGGAAGCTGCTGTTCGTGCACTCTGCTGAAGCTGACGAGTACTGGAGTGCCCTGCTGGAGAAAGCCTACGCCAAGTACGGGGGGGGGGTTACTCATTCGGCACTAGGAAGGTGGTGTCGCCGTGTGGCTGAAGGTACTTTCAATCTGCTACTATTTTTCTCAGGTTGAACGGCTCCTATGAGGCTCTGTCAGGAGGAAGCACGTCAGAAGGCTTTGTGGACTTCACAGGTGGCGTGACAGAGAATTTTGATCTGCAGAAAGCCCCCTCAGACCTCTACAGTATCATTAAGCGGGCTGTGGACAGAGGCTCTCTCCTAGGATGCTCCATAGATGTGAGTACCTACAGCCAGAGGCGAATTTACACTTTCAAGCCAAGACGGAGAGTATTTCTTAGCCTGGCACATCCATCCATCCATCCATCCATCCATCCATTTTTTTAACCACTTCCCTTAAGCAGGGGGAGTAGGGTGTCCCAAAAAAAATAATTTTTTAAAAAATCGAAGTGACACCCCCTAAAAAGTTTCCTTTTGGTAAATTGTACTCACATATAAAATTTCAGCTCAATCAGACTTCATTTAGAGGTGGCACAAGAGCTGCAAAGATTCGTAAAATAGCGCTAAAATTGAAATAATTCGCAATGTTCGTCACAAACATTTTTTTTTATTTCAGTAACAAGGTCTAACTCACAAATACATTTACAGTGCATTGTAACAAAGTAAGGCAATTTAATTAAACTTAATTAAAACAAAATGACATCACTTCTGCTTCTTTAATGCTGAACGCTGATCACTGTAAAGCTGAAATTTTATATGTGAGTACAACTTACCAAAAGGAAACTTTTTAAGGGGTGTCACTTCGATTTTTTTTTTTAATTATTTTTTTTTGGGACACCCTAAGGGGGAGCCTAGGGCCTATCGCTGAGAGCACAGGGTATACAGCAGGGGTACATGATGGACAGGATGCCAGTTCATTGCAGGGCACACACATACAATGGGTAATTTAGAGATGCAGTCTAGCAAAAGTGCATGTCTTTGGATGAAATGAAACTTTAGTACCTGGAAGAAAGCCAAGTCACACAGGGAAGATATGAAATCCTGGGAGGTGGGATTTGAATCCCTGATTCTCTTAGGCACTGTTCACTCTGGATTATCATCTGTGGAACTTAATACATTGGGGACTTTGTAACTGTAATTGTATTTGGTGGGTGTAGTCGCATTTCTCATGTCAAGTGTAAATTTGTGTTTCCAGATCAGCAGCAACTCTGACATGGAAGCTGTAACATTTAAGAAGCTGGTCAAAGGTCATGCATATTCACTGACTGGGGTGCACGAGGTAAGCCATCTGCTTCCGTATGCCGCAGTTTCTCATGTGGACTGTACGTGGGATTGTAACAGGGTCAGGGGCCAGACCCAAATGCAAAGAAAGGAGGAATTTCTCACTGGCAAGGCCAAAAAATAGGACTGAGTACATGGGGTACAGTTAGGTAAACGATCAGGGTCAGAGTCCCTGTCCTTGTTTACAGTACACGGATATCGCCGGGTCAGAGTCCCTGTCCTTGTTTACAGTACACGGATATCGCCGGGTCAGGGTCCCTGTCCTTGTTTACAGTACACGGATATCGCCGGGTCAGGGGCCCTGTCCTTGTTTACAGTACACGGATATCGCCGGGTCAGGGGCCCTGTCCTTGTGTGTAGTACATGAGTACATGGATAATACTGTATCAGGGTTCCTGTCCTTGTGTGCAGTGCACTGATACTACAGTGTCAGGGTCCCTGTCCTTGTGTGCAGTACATGGGTATCACCATGTCAACACCCTTGTCTATGTGTTCAGTGCACGGATATTAGTGTCATGGTCCCTGTCCATGTGTACAGTACATGGGTATCACTGTGTCAGAGTCCCTGTCTTTGTGCAAAGTGCCCGGGTATCACCATGTCAACATCCCTGTCCTTGTGATCAGTGCATGGGTGTTCTTGTATTGGTTTAATACAGATGTCTCTGTAGCTGTATACAACAAATATGTCTCCTTTTGTCAGGTGGCGTACAGAGGGATTCCCACCAAGCTGGTTCGGCTTCGAAACCCATGGGGCGAGATTGAGTGGACTGGGTCTTGGAGTGACAAGTGAGAGAGCAGATTGAATGCATACAGGAGAAATAAATGTGGAAGCATTTCCTTAATTACTTAACGGTTCTATTTAGGGCCCTATACAATTAAAGATACGTAAGTGGCTACTTCAGTTATTTTTACGTTGGAATCGGACTTTGGCAGTCCTCAGCATACACGTTGTTGCTGCCATATAATCCTTAGTACAGTACCCTGCCTGCCAGCTCAGTTTTCTCACATTATACAAGGCTGGAAGTCACCTCCATGCCACCATAAGTCAATATCCTTTTTAAAGGGGCATTTCACACCAAAACTTAAAGATTTGTTTTAGAAGGGTTTTCATGGTATCTATCCATCCAAGTTGTTCTGCTGGGAGTTACTTTGGAGATATCAAGTGCAGAAATGTAGGAGTTCCCTCAAATATAACGGGACCACATGGCATTCTTTCTGTGGTGGTTAAAGCACCAAAAAAAATACATTTGGAAAATTCAACAGCAATGTCTTTTGCCAGAAGTTATGACCTGGTTATTGAAGATAATGCACAGACTTTATAGTGAGCAATTTAATGTAGGAGCTATTTTCTCCAAACTGAACACCTCACCCCAATCCTATCACTGCACAGAAAATACGAGTATAAACACTGGGCAGCTCCCAGCAGAACAACCTATACAGGTAGATAGCAATAAAGCCCTCTTAAACATATATTTTCACAGTTTTGGGGTTTAACAATGTTGTCAAGTACTAATAACTGTGTGTACCATTCCTTAGGCTTGCTTAGTTTTAGTATTATTGGCACGGGTTTCTTTCAGTTCCCGAGATTGGGATGGTGTGAACAGTTCAGTCCGAGCTCAACTGCTGAATCGCAGTGAGGATGGAGAGTTCTGGTAAGGCTTTTATGTACCTGCTCACTCCTCATGAATTCTAGCCATTCCATAATGTAGCTCGTCACTCTTCCTAATTGTCTGACAACCCAGATCTTGGGAACATGCATCTGGTTTCTCTTCTCTTTCTCTCTCTCTCTTCCTTCTCTCAATTGCTGTGGTGCTCATCATGACAGACTTGAGTATTCTGCAGAAGACGCATTCTTCTGTCACATTTGGAAAGCTCATAATCATCACCAAGAGGAAGACTTTTTAAGTGTGAAAACATTGAGGCAGGCTCTTCTTAATTACTTTTTCAATGCATTTCTTTTTTCTTCTTCCGCAACATATTTCTTCTATGGGTAAGTTCAGTGTGTGTGTGTTTCCCCCAGTGAGATTTTCCTGTGTACCCAGGATGTCCTTCAATGATTTCCTGCGGGAGTTCACCCGCCTGGAGATCTGTAACCTGACCCCAGACGCACTGCAGGCCAGTCAGCTGAAGAAGTGGAGCACGTCTCTGTTCCAGGGCCAGTGGAGGCGAGGCAGTACAGCTGGGGGCTGCAGAAACTTCCCTGGTAGGCCAGGAGGAAGGGGGCACCGTGGCCAAGTGGCTATATGTGTGTGTCCCTGCGGGCCCCTGTGTGTGTGTGTCCCTGCGGGCCCCTGTGTGTCCCTGCGGGCCCCTGTGTGTGTGTGTGTGTGTCCCTGCGGGTCCCTGTGTGTGTGTGTGTGTCCCTGGGGGCCCCTGTGTGTGTGTGTGTGTGTCCCTGCGGGCCCCTGTGTGTGTGTGTGTGTGTCCCTGGGGGCCCCTGTGTGTGTGTGTGTGTGTCCCTGCGGGCCCCTGTGTGTCTTTGGGGTAGGAGTCTGTTCAGTCACTGGTTCAAACTCTGTGGTTGCACCCTTGTCCCAGACTCTAAAAACTGCTTCATGGCTACTGGTAAAATGGCTGACCCTGCACTCTGAGCCGAAGCTTCACTCTCACTTGTGCGTATATACATTATATTGGCAAAAGTATTGGGACACCCCTCCAAATCATTGAATTCAGGTGTTCCAATCACTTCCATAGCTACAGGACAAGCACATAGGCTTGCAGACTTCTTCTACAAACATTTGTGAAAGAATGGGTCACTCAAAAGAGCTCAGTGAATTCAAGCATGGTACCGTGATAAGATGCCACCTGTGCAATAAGTCCATTTGTGAAATTTCCTAGCTACTAAATATTCCAGGGTCAGCTGTTAGTGGTATTATAACAAAGTGGAAGCAATTGGGAACAACAGCAACTCAGCCACGAAGTGGTAGGCCACATAAAATCACAGAGTGGGGACAATGCATGCTGAGGTGCACAGTGTGCAGAAGTCACCAACTGTCTGCAGAGTCAATAGCTACAGACCTCCAAACTTCATGTGGTCTACAGACTCAAGAACAGTGCGTACAGAACTTCATGGAATGGGTTTCCATGGCCAAACAGCTGCTTCCAAGCCTTACATTAGAGACCTGCACTCCCGCGGGACCGAGTGCGGTGCGGGACAAGATTTGTTGGGTGAATGCGGGTGCGAGTGGTAAGGTCCTCATGTATGTGCGGGTTGTGGGAGAATAGAATTAATTGCGGGACTCCCGCAAAATGGAATTATCAAAATTTTATTTATTAAAAACAAATACTCTATTTACTGCACAAAAGCAACAAGAACGACTAAATTAAAATAATTTACAGGCGAATCATCTACAGAAACTACAATTGCCGCGCTCTGAGTGCCGGGGAACGTAACCGGACACCCCAAGAAGGAATAAGCCTGGTGCTTGGACAGGATGGCATGTTCTGAAAAGCTCCTTGTTCGTGTCCATGTTCATCATTCCATTTAATTAAACTCAAATAAAAAAAAAAAAAGTAAAGTTTGGTGGAGGGGGGATTATGGTGTGGGGTTGTTTTTCAGGGTTTGGGCTTGGCCTCTTAGTTCCACTGAAAGGAACTCTTAATGCTGCAGCATTTGAAGCCATTTTGGACAATTTCATGCTCCCAACTTTGTGGGAACAGTTTGGGGATGGCCCCTTCTGGAGTCTGGTGTGAAGGAACTTGACTGGCTTACACAGAGCCCTGACCTCAACCCGATAGAACATCTTTGTGATGAATTAGAGCGGAGACTGTGAGCCAGGCCTTCTCATCCAACATCAGTGCCTGACCTCATTAATGCTCTCCTGGCAGAATGCTGAAAAATTCCCATAAACACCCTCCTAAACCAGGTGGGCAGCCTTCCCAGAAGAGCTGAAGCTGGTATAGCTGCAAAGGGTGGGCCAACCACATATTAAAGCCTACAGTATGTATTAAGAATGGGATGTCATTAAAGTTCATGTGTGTATGTAAAGACAGGTGTCCCAGTACTTTTGGCAATATAGGGTATATCTCTTTTAGGAGAGCAAGATAGGATGTCTGTATCAGCACCGATTCAGACCTATTAGACGGATCAGGTATCGGCCATATGTGAGCAACCCTTATCCAACACTTACTCATTTAGTTTTTGGCAGTTTGTAAAAAGATTCCTATTTCTTGTTACTATCAGTTGCAGGACAACTAACCCTAACCCTATTTTAGACATGCTTTTGCTGCATTCAAGCTGAACGCTAATGCTGCCTGCTGTGACGTGCGCATAACCTTCGCAGTAGGGGGACAAGTTTGCTACAGCAGCTTGTAGCAAAGCAGTTTGCAATCTTTGTAAAACCGAATTTGAGCGATAGAAGCAGCGTTTTGTGGAGAATCTAACTAAACAAAACGAGAACGTGAGTAACATGAAAAAAGCAACGGATAGTTTGGGAGTCGCCAGTTTGGGCTGATTTGCACACATGCTGCAGCTTGTGATTCACAAGGGGCTGCTACCGCAACTAAGTGTAAGTGACGCTGTATCTAGTGGGAGAACGATTGGCACCAGCATTTGCCACCTTCGTGTACTCGCTTGGAAGATATTCAAATTGAACTGCAAATGCCTCAAACACTTAAAACAAGATGTACACTCCAGGTGGAAGTTGTGTATGTTTCTATAGCCTAATTAAAGATTTTTTTTTGGCATACATTATTTTCATTTTTATTTGCTAGTTTCCTATGTACTAGAGTTGGATGTCTCTAGACCGGTCTCAAGACCACTTTTACTCTGTCTTGGTCTTGTCACAGTCTCGACGGTCTATGGTCTTGTCTTGGTCTCGGATCCCTTGGTCTTGTCACAGTCTCGCTGTCTTGGTTTTGCTGTCTCAGATCGACAGTGGTTGGGAGATGTGGAGCGAAAAGTATCCGACACACAACGTAACGTTCCATAATGCAACATCACTATTATTTCGCCTTCAAATGCAACCAATCAATGACATGCATTTTGTTGTGATTCAGACATTAGTGCTCATCCAATGAAAATACGCCTTATGCGCGCAAAATAAGTGTAGCGCTAGTTAAATGTCAGTTAAATGTAGGGCTGCACGATTTGGGGAAAATATCGAATCGCTATTTTTCTGACAGAAATTGCGATTACGATTTGATTTACGATTTAATTTTTTATGTCAAGCTTCAGTTCAATATTCAGTGTGTAATAATTTTAAAACATGACGCCTGCTATCGATCAGTATTAACTGGTCTACATTCTAATGCAAGGATGAGAATTTAAAGATGTGATGTGTCAAGTTAAAGTAATGAAAACAATAATAATAATATATTATAGTTATATTATTTGTTGTTGTTATTATAAAAATTGCGATCTTGCAGGTAATGCTTATTACCCTCCTAATAACACTAGAACTGCCTTTTCCCACGCAAATGAACCAGCAAGAACTACTTCGGTGTATGCAGCCCTTTTGTTTGCGCTATTGTGTTGTTAGCTGCTGTTATTAACACTAATAACACTCAAAAACCGTACCATATAAAGAGTGGTTGTTCTGTCCTGAAACCGTAAAGCTGGAAATTTTTAAACGTAGTATGCATTTTATAAAATGTTGAATAAATAGAAGTCGTTTATTGGTGATTTCATGTTGGTCGAAATTTCTGCTTTTTGACAACTGTATACGGCTATTTTCTATACAAATCAATTCAGGTGAAACAAAAAAATGTACGTGTTCATGGTTGCAAACACTTTCAGACTCACGCAAGAAATCTTACGGCAAATCTATATTCCATTCTGAACTTAAAATTAGCTGCATCAAAAATGTTTCGGCAGTTTGAAAACCCTACAGACTATTTACAAGGTAATAAAACTTGCATACATGTAAATGTGTGTGCAGAACAGAGAACAGAAAATCTCACTCCATGCAGCTGACCAAAGTTGGCAACCCTGCATTTTATTTTAAATGAGAAGTAAAATGCAGTTTTCGACTAAAGCAGCTTATCATTCCTTTGCTTTGTTACTCGGACAAATACAAAATGAATGATTAAACATTATATGCGTCTCTTTTTGTATGTTTTCTAAATAAGACCGCGTGCCCATACCCAACTGTAATGGCAATTAAAGCGATCTATTCTTTTAGTAGCCTATTTATGTTAAAGCAAGACTTTTATTTTATTACTGTTGTGTTGGAAACACTTAAGTTGAATAATCACAAAAACATATGACGTAAACACGACTGTGTTGTGGGTTTTACGGCTTTTTTGGAGGTCACCAACTCCGCTGCTGTGAAAATTACTGACCGTCTCCTTGTTTTGATGGGTTAGCGATATACTAATGCTATTGCCTATTATCAAAAACCAAAGGTATGATGCGCTGAAGAATATTGCTGCTGGTGTTTAAAAGGAGCTCGCCGGTTCTTTTGATGGTAGGACCTTTCTGAAACAATCTCGGACCATGAAATATGAAGGCAATTCATTTATAGCTCAGTAGCGGAATCAGTATTTTTCCACACCGCTAATGTAACGTTTTCCTTGGGTTGCACGTGTTTGCTGTTTGTGGGCCTATACGCCTTCTTGGGCCACTTCTGATTGGTGAGCATGACTGGCACGCGAGAAGCACGGCGCTTGTGATTGGTGAGAATTACTTTTTTTTTTTTTTTTTTGCGACTTGCTAACCGCGTTGTTTCAAATCGTGATTTCGATTTGAAATCGATACATCGTCCAGCCCTAGTTAAATGTGTAATCACATGCCACTGCAGACATCAAGATGTCAGAATCTTTTAAGCACTTGTCCTTATTCTTATTAATGCACAATTTTATGTGCAGTTTGTATTGGTATATAGTATTTGTAGTTTGCATTTGATTCATGTGACGTGTGCGCATGTCTTTATATTTGATTACAGTATTTTACTTTAAAATGGTGTTTTTGACTAAATGTGACCATTGACTTTTAAATAACATCTGCATATCACGTTGTGTTGACTTAACAGGCCTAATCCATTTCAGGGAAGTTGATATCATGCAGTGTCATTTGGCTAGTACTACAATGGGACATGATGCAATTTCAAGTTTATAATTGTGTATCTTCAATTTGATGTTACAATTTCATCTACAAATTAAGTATAATTGAAATCAGTTACATATTTCCCATCCTTTAGATAGTTGTTGGTGTTAGCTGTTTTGTCAGATGACTTTGGGACCAGTCAGTACCCGTCATGTCAGTCCTCAACAGCACACAAAAGATTTTTTATTTTTTATTTTTTGGTCTTGTCTTGGTCTCGATACCCTCTGGTCTTGGTAGTGTCTTGGTTTAGGCGGTCTTGACTACAAGTCTACTATGTACCTGTATGTGTGCTTGTACAAATGCCAAATAGAGTATAATCATCCGGGTGGGACAAACGGCAGTGGTCTACAGGGAGACCTTTGGCAGGAGGGAAGATCCTTGCTTGATCTAGAAAACATGCTTAAATAAATTTAGTTTACTAGCTTAGGGGATTTGTTAAAATTGTTCGCAGAGTACAACGTATTTTTGTAGTTAACAGTTGGAGCCATTTGCAAATAGGTGAGCATAAGGCAGTGTGACTGAAAAAGCTTGTAGTCCTGCTTTGAGTATGACATCTCATAAATGCACACTGAACATTGTGGTTGCTCTTCTCACAGGACATCAGTTTCTTTTTGTTCTGTACAGTGAGTTGTGCCCATTTCTCTCCTCAGCTTCGTTCTGGATTAATCCACAGTTTAAGTTGAAACTACAGCACCCGGACTCAGCCAGCACTTCAGACTGCAGCTTCCTGGTGGCCCTGATGCAAAAAGACCGGCGGCAGAAGCGCAAAGAGGGCAAGGACATGGAGACCATTGGATTCGCCATTTACGAGGCAAGGGTCTCTGCGAACGCGAACCCTGTGAAGCATTTAGAGTTGCATTACTAAGGCTACGTTCACACTGCAGGCCTTAATGCTCAGTTCTGATTTTCTGCTCAGATCGGATTTTTTTGTTTGCTTGTTCACATTACTCCTTTTAATCTGGGCAATAATCAGATTTCACGATTCACTATACTGGACTGGCCCGCGTGCGCACAAAACAACAACAGGCGCAAAAACAGACGTCACTTTCTTGATTCGAAAACTGCCCGGTTCCAGTTTTGCCTGAACAGATTTATCTCCCCAAATACAGCACCTCACTGTCCCTCCACTGGCCAAGTTCTGTGCTCTCCTCCATGTTTGGCACTCCTCTGACGGAGACATACGGTGACTTCTGCCTGTGCAGAATTGTGACGAATGTCAATCAAGAGTGACTTAAAAGTCACATGAATTCCGATTTCGCTGTTCAGACTGAGGTTACATTGCAAAAAAATCAGACCTGTATCTGATTTACTGCAGTGGCCCAAATCGGAATTGAAAAAATTGGATTCCATGTGACTTGTGCTGTTTACATTGTCATGAGTCACATATGAGCAAAAAAAATCAGATTTGGGCCACATTTGTCCTGTAGTGTGAATGTAGCCTCCATCTCTTAGAACGTTCTGCACATTTTGCTGTGTTCTTGTTCTGTTAAAGTATCTTTTGTCTTTTCAGCTCTATGATATGTGGTTCACATACTGAGATGGAATATCATTCTTCACAGTGAAAATATAATAGAAAAAAAAATTATCCCATGGCTTTGGTAAAAATGTACAGTCTTGTCAATAAACCTTAACCCTAAATATTACTTATTTATTATTGGTCCAGAGATGTCACATGGGTGATTATTTGTATGTAACCACACAGGTAGTTCCAGCAGTCTAATAAGACTTCTGTATTACTGTGGTTTAGTGCTAAACAAAACATGTTAATATAAGTGTATGACTTTTTACTCATAAATAAGCAATCATTCTTATCATGGGACTGTATATTAAAGAGCTCATTGGAACATTATTAAATGCTAATTGAAAGTAAAAAATGAACTGTAAATGGTTTATTCTATTTTTTTTTTTTTGCTCGTTAGTCGTGGTTATACAAAAAATAATCAATTCCAATTTCATTACACCAAGTTGTCAATGATTATTTTTATCTAACCTCGCACGTCATCGTGGTTTATCCCTTACTTAAGATAGTAATATCTTCTGTTAATCTATCTTGACCAGGGGTTCGGAATGGTCGGCCTCTGCGCCGAATGCAGCTTGTAAAAACTTTTACCATGCAATAAATAAAATAACAGGCCAAGAATCTGGTGATATGATGTGTATCATGATACAGGGGCTACGATTCAATATATTACGATACTGTAAACATAGTGATATATTCCAATATTTAAAATCTAATTTTAAGAAAACTCTCATGGTATAAAGAATAAACCACCATATGCATAATATTTCCTTGTGCATAATTTAGTATAAGGAAACATACGTGTGGCCCTTGAAGGATGTTATAAAAATTTCAATGACCCCTGATCTAGCCAAAAAAAAAAACATAAACACCCGATTAGGTGAAAAAGATGAACAATGGAATGAACAGATGGGAGAAATGTGCAGTAAATAGTCAAGATGGATTTAGGTCCATTGTATTGAGTTTGAGGTATTATGAGGACAGTCCTGATATGACTTCTAAGGTTGACAGAGGTGTGGGAGCTGTAATATAAGTGTTTTATCTCTTTAGTAATAGTTTTGTAATACAGTGGTACCTCAGAACTCGAATTTAATTAGTTCAGAACTCCGGATCGAATCCTAAAAAGTTCGAGTGTGATCGACTTTTCCCCCATAAGAAATAATGGAAAATAATGGAAAACCAATTAATTGGCTCCTGGCCCCAAAAAAATTACACCAATTTTTTTTTTTTTAAGCATTTAAACACAAAATGAACCGGACAAAACAAGAAAAGCACATACTGCACTAAACACATCTAAGCACATTTATCAAAACAGTAATTTGTAAAGTAAGAAAATAAATGTATCCAAACAATGTGTCATGCCCCGATCGTCCGCTCCTTCCGTGTGCCACGCCCCCTCGTTAACCCCATGTGGAATCCCCGTGTGATCAGCTGTTTCTGGTTGTTGTCATTAGTCCTCTGTATTTAGTCTGCGTTTCAGTTTGTTTCCCCAGTCCGGTCATTGTATTTTCCGTCTGCGTTTTGCCTGCCTTACCTGTAATTAAACCCCGTATTCACCGATACCCTGACGTCTGCACCTTTGTCTCCGTTCTGTCCCTGCTCAGCACGGCAATATTATGATAATTAAACGTATTAATGGTTTATTATTAATATTAAAATAATTAATAAGAAGTCTTTATTTTTAAATGTATTATATAATATTACTGTTACTGTCTATCATTGTCTAAATGTATTTTTACTGTCTAATTTTTACTGTATTCAGTTAGTGTAAACATGTACGGTGCTATCACAGTGAATGCGAAGCTGAGACTGAAGCGTTACCCTTACAGTATGTATCCACTGAGAGACGTGCTGCGTGACTCATTTCCCCGCGCGTACAAGTTATCTTACTAGGTTATCGTTCACGGTTTGACTACTGAGATTCAGGTCGAGTTATAGGTAATTTTTTTTCGAACTGGTTGATTCGACTTTTAAGGAATTCGAGTTCTACTGAGTTTGAGAACTGAGGTACCACTGTATTTAAATTTAAACAAATGCTATTTTGTAGTATGTCTAATATTGAACTGGTGGAGCCTGCTGAAGAATCCTTGTGTGTATGGTGTTGGCTGTGTAACTTCATCATGATCTCCGTGTCTCTTTATTTTGCAGGTTCCAAGCGAGGTATGCAGAACTATGTCCGTTACCCAGCGGCAGAGGCTTCCATACAGAATAACAATCGAGGCGGGTCTGGAGACATCGCTGATTAATCCTAGATGACATAAGCAAAATCAGTTATAAGGAAGTCCAGTCATGACTAAGGGTTTCTGCTGAGCTGTTAAATTCCCATGGTTGTGTGTTTTTTTTTTTTTAATTAAACTTTTTTGGATAGTAGCGTTGTAGCCCACTGAGTATCACCTTATTACTGACAGCTCTCTGAGAGGGCCTTTTGATTGGTGACGTTCAGCTCAGTAGTAAGACCCCTTTTCTCTACTGCGCTCTCTCTCTTTCTCTCCCCACACAGTGTATTGGCATGTCAGCTGTGCACCTTAAGCAGGAATTCTTCCTTACTAACGCCTCCAGAGCTCGCTCAGAGCTCTTTATCAACTTGCGTGAAGTCAGCTCTCGCCTGTGTCTGCCTTCTGGCGAGTACATCGTAGTGCCCTCTACCTTTGAGCCCAACAAGGAAGCTGACTTTGTCCTGCGTGTATTCTCTGAGAAGCCTGCCAACTCTGAGTGAGTGATGACGAGCAGAAGAGAAGGAACAGCATATATGATGAAGGGAAGGAGAACCAAACAGAGGGAAGGGACAGCCAATAGAAAGAGGGGAAGGAAGGAGGGAGGGCTAAAGAGAGAAAAGGGATAGCCAATGAAAGGAGGGAGACAGCTGAAAGAAGGGGGGTAGGGCTGATCAGAGGGAAGAGAAAGCCAGTTGGAGGAGGAGATGGAAGGGAGGACCAATGAGGGAAGGCTTATGGGTTGTTTATGCCTGTTATGGAAGCGGACACCACTGCATGTGCGGCTGTTGTGACATAAGATTTGCTTCAAAGGCTGGGTGCACAGAGAGTGCGTCAGGGTACGTAACGTTAGAAACAACGTGGACTGTGATGCACGTCTGCCTTGATCATTCATTGGCCAGGTCTAGCAGAAAGGAGATTGGACCAAAGATTGTGTACAAGCATCTTTTCTATAAAACATTCTTACCTTACAAATTTAATGCACTTCGATTTTTTTTTTAAAGCTTCACAAAAAGCACTGCAGTTTTATTGTTTGTTTTGTCACTGAACTAATACTTCGGGAGTTGGGCTTTCTGTTGCATGCAGTGCCACCAGAAGTTAGTGAGTGGCTGTGACTTGCCAAATGTAGCTCTTTGGTCTTCAGCCTTTGCATTCAAGTCTGGTTCCTTAACCCACAAATGACAAGTGTTAGGAGAAGAGGTCAGAAGACAAGGAGGGCATTTATGCTAGAGATGTGTGAATTAGGAAAAGGTGAGCGATTGCATAGATGGGAAGCATCAGGAGGCTGTAGATGGCAGCTGAGGCACGTGCATGAGCAGTCAGCTGGGAGAGGGATGCAGGGTGGAGCACTTAAATGTCTGTGACCAACATGCCTTTCTCTTTGCCAGGCATATGGATCATGAAATTGAGGCTAATCTGCCCCCTGAGGTAAAATGGTAGTGATATTTATATGGAAGTGTTCAGTAAAAGCTCCAGGAGTCCATTGTAATTGGACCCATACTAATATGGACTTTCCCCTTTTGACTCATCTGTGCTGCAGCCCCAATTGGATGAGAGCCAGATTGATCCAGGGTTCAAGAGTCTTTTCTTGCAGCTGGCAGGATCGGTGAGAGATGGAAAAAGATGGAAGTGGTCTGAGAAGGTGCTGAAACAATGGGGAGGTCCAACTCAACTGACTCTGTCTCTGTTCTTAGGACATGGAGATCAGCTCCACTGAACTGCAGACTATTCTAAACAAGATCCTCAAGAAGCGTGAGTCTGGATTCTTGATAGACGCATTAGATATAGATGATTCTATGATGTCAGTCTTAGGCCAAAGGAGTGTTCAGTTAAAGTTAATGATGAAAATATAGACATTTAAAATGTCAACAAGCAAGGACCATGCTTGAATAAATATTTAAGAACCCATGAACTCCAGCTTCTCTATGTAAGCTGCTCCCCCTACATTGACACCTTTTATATCTGTGATCATGATGTGCTCTCAGACCTTCAGAGAATTCCTAAAGTGTGCACATGTAGAACATGCACAAACACATACCACACTAATAGCAGTATAATCTCTCTTGTTTCTTTGACCATAACATTATCTACTGGTTTTGCTTGTTCATGAATTCAGCATTCATGAATTCAGGATTATTAGTCTTGAACAAGGTCATGTTGTGAATGCAAAGTATTGAATACCTGCCCTTGGGGGAAAATGCCTTGTTCCTGAGAATAAAACATATTTTGGTTCTGTCACAGATAAAGACTTGAAAACGGATGGTTTCTCACATGAGGCCTGTCGCAGTATGGTTAACCTAATGGATGTATCCTTTAAACCTTACTTCCACAATGATCTCTTGTCTTGCATTGTGTGGGTCTCACTCTGAGTCTGAGATTACATTTCTCAATTTGTGACAGTCGTTGCTTTATATTAAAATCTGATCAAATCTGAAGATTGAGAACTCCCATGTTAGCTAATTAACCAGAATAATCATTCTTATTGTCACGTCCAGCCCCGCCCTGCTTGTCTGCTCCATGCCTTCCCCTTGGGTGTGGCTGTTCATGAGTTGCGTCTGAAGCTTGTTAGTCTTACTTCTTGTTCCTATCCTCTTGTTAACCAGCCACAGCTGCCTTGTGTTTACTTCTGTGTTGGTTATCTATATAAGCGTCTCTTAGTCTTGTGTTCCTTGTTCGTTCATTGTGGCCTGTCCGCATCTACTATCCGCCTTGTGTATTTCAATAAAACTTTCCCATGAGGGATTTCTGGCACAGCCTGCATTCTGTGTACGGACATGACCCTGATATAAAAGTTCATGGCGCATTAAAGGGCACGGATGAATTATTTGTAGTTCAGGTTCCAGACTTTACCAAAAAGCAAAATGTGGGCACTGTGTGGTTCAGGCTGTGTATTTGTGATTTGAGCTACAGTTAGTGTTGCCATGGGTGGCTTCCGGTTTGCCTATCACTCTGAATAAATTTGGCAGTGAAGCTGTTGTTTTTTAACTTGGAAAAAGTACTAAGGCTGTGTCTGTGGTTATTTGCTGTGCTCCCTCTTTGTGTTTGCCTGTATTACTCACTGTCAGTACTTGACTGTGTGCTGCAGACTGATGGCAATGGGAAGTTGGGTCTGACAGAGTTTCATGTGCTGTGGGAAAAAATCAAGCGATACCTGGTAAGATAGTACCTTAACTGTGTCATTTCCCATGTCTAACCCTTTCCATACATGTCTGTAGACATGTTTGCTCACATGTATGTTTGTGCTCCTTATTCTGTTTGTTTACAGATCTGTTCCTGCTCAGTATAACTGCATCTGTCAGTTCACATGTCTGCTTATAGTCTCTCTGCTTATAGTCCTGGACAGACTCCTGTACATTTACGCATGTCTGTGCTCTCTGTTCACGGACCTAACCCGAGTTCAGATGGTACCCTTCTGATCACAGGCTCAGTGCCCCATCCCACTGAGCCACACACTGCCCACTTTGGTTACCCAAAGACACCCTCCCTTCTGTCCCTTCCCTCTCTCCTTGTTTCCATAGACGGTATTCAGGAAATTTGACCTGGATAAGTCTGGCACCATGAACACCTATGAATTGCGCCTGGCCCTGGAATCTTCAGGTACGTTACTGGGCGAGTACTAAGCTCAGCACAACCTATGTCTGTCTGCTGCATGTTGATCATTCAGATGGGCACAGGGGTAAAGGCACCCATTCTTTGATCCCCCCCCCCAGTGAGATGTGAGTTGGCTATTTTTGTTAAATTTTTAATCTATTATAGCTCCTTCCATTAAACCATTATGTAAGGCATCAAACCCAATATTCTACATAGTGCCTTCAGGAAATATGCAGCAAAAAGTGGCTATTTATTATGCTCTGTTGCTGAGTCACATTATAATGTGTGATTTTTCTCGTCATATACAACTGTCTAAACTGTTTTAAGCTTGCTAATTAAATTTCACCTGTAATCCTTCAATTTAGCTAATGATTTTTTTCATATGCCTGTTAATTCTATACAACTTTAAGTTCCTCCAGTGTAGTTTTCCTTCAGCATTGAGAAACCTTTTTATCCTTAGAGGAATATACAGCACATTGTGGGACATTACATGCATACCATATATCCGCTTGGCATTATTATCCCATTTCCCTCTCTTTGTGTGTGTCTGTGTCCAACAGGGTTCAAGCTAACTAACCACTTGTTCCAGCTGATAATCCTGCGTTACAGTGAGACCGATCTCACTGTGGACTTTGACAACTTCGTCAGCTGTCTTGTCCGGTTGGAAACAATGTTCAGTAAGTCATTCTGGGATTTCCACTTAAATGTATGGTTTAGGGCTGCACGATATTGGGAAAAAATTACATTGCGATATATTTTTTCCCTGCGATATATATTGCGATGTGTACAAATTTATTTATGTTCATCAGGTGTTTTGAACTGCTTAAAAATCAAATAATAATTCAAAAATTGTACGCATTTTCAAAGAATAAAAAAGATGTAAAAGTATAATCAAAACCCTGAAATAAAATACTTTTTTAAGCATATTTTTGGGTTGTTTCATAAAGTTTGACTCACCTTATTCACTGTCAATTCAGGCAAATCAAGGCTCTAATATGTTATGAAATTAATAATGAATGTTGCTTTTACCCTGATGAAAGGGAACTCATTTTGTGAATGAAAAGAGGACACTTCAATATCACATTAAGGAATTAACATGAGTGACAAAATAAGTAATTTAACATTTTATTCAACAACTTCTTTTTTGAAAACAGATTAGTAAATATATTTTGTCACAAAATTTGAAAAAAAAAAGTGGTAACAAATTGTAATAAGCTAAACTTAACTTGTTGCAATGACAATAACAAGTGTTGTTAACAATAATTATCTTACAATAAATAAAATTATATGTCAGAAGATTCTTTTTTTTTTAGTTTTGCATACTTTGTTTAGCCAAAGTAAAACAAGTGTTGGTCATCAGCTAACAAGAAAGATTAAATTAAACTTTTCAACAACTCTATAAAAAAAAATTGGTTTCTTTCTTAGAGCTGTTGCATAAAGTAAATATAAATATTCAAATACACCAATTTGGTGCTTCTGTATGCATTAACTTACTCAATGAAGCTTAGAGGTTTTTAGCTAAGAACACCAGTCTATATATCCACCATTGCAGGCTTGAGACTTGAACGCTGACAGGTGATTATGTTGCCGCTTGCACTGAAAACCCTCTCTGATGGGGAACTTGTTGCAGGAATAGAGAGATATTTTGAGTACTTAGTGGTGCCGACTTAAATGGTCAAACAAATTCGTAGTGTTTCCGCGAGTTGTGGCAACAACTGCCAGGCACTCCCGACAAAGCACATGTTCTTGGTCAGCATCATCCTTTTTGTATCCAAAATACTTCCATATGAACGACGTTGCGTTTCTTTTTGCGACCAAATCTTCCATTTCGGCGCTTTTCTCCCGTCCCGCGCTCATTTCGCCATGTGCACGCAGAGACTGCATGCATGAAGTAGGTGAAGAAACGTGTGCTTTGTAGTTTTTAAAGAACCCTTAAATATGAGTTAATTACTTTATATTAGACAAATATAGATCCGTGAATAGAAAGTTTAGAAATATAGAAAGTACATTTTTAAATCACACACACAATATTTTTTTTTATTTTACCCTGCATCGTGACTGCCGCGATGTGACTACCGCGCATGCGTACATCGCGATGACGATGCTGAAACGATGTATCGTGCAGCCCTAGTATGGTTGCCAAGACATTACAACACTTACATATAGTTTACTGGCCAGTTTATAGCCAAATGTTAATAATTGGTTAAATAATGCATGCATATGTGGCTGAGCCTGTTATAATGAGGAGCTGAAGTCAAGATGCCTCTTCTCATTTGCCTTTTACTTAGAGACCTTCACAACCATGGACACTGATAAAGATGGAGTAATTTCACTCAACTTTTTCCAGGTTGGTGTCAACAGTGTTTTTTTTTCTGACTTCCGAACCTTTTTAGAGATGGTAATTGTATTGTTAGAAGGCTGATCCATCCTGATTGCTGGTGTGTTTCTGTTTCTGTGTCTCCACAGTGGATTTCTCTGACCATGTTTGCATAAGACCAACTGCAGCTCGCTGTCAACACCAGCAGCTACTGCTACTGTCCACTTGGATTTTCAAAGGCTTGAATAGTTTTCCCATCCCCCACTGGTGAACACTGTGTCCTGCTGCTTTTAACCACAATATTCAGGCAAAACTACTAAGGCAAACTCTATCTAAAATCTGATGATATACATCTTGTACATGGGGCCATAACATAAATGACCTTTTATATTTTCACAGCAGCAAAGCTTTGTAGGATTTTTTAACAATAGTGTCAGAATTACAGTAAGCCAATGAACTGGTTGACTGAGGACAATCAGGAATATGACTGTGTTGACATTGCAGTCAGAAAGCATTGTTTGCACAAAGCATGAATTTTACAGCACATAGATTTTCAGACCAAATCAGGAAAGGCATTTCCCCTTTTTTCTTTCTGTAAAGAAAGCCTGAGGTCAGCATACAAGTAATCGTTCTTTTTTTTTGGATATGCAGAGTGTTGTCTGGTGATTAACACTTTGACTTCCTATAATTTTGGGTGGGATTCCCATTTTCAGTGGGTTGAGTAATCAGGGATGCTTGTATTGCATTACGCGTGGCTCTCAATCCGCTGAACACTGGGCCACACTGGGCCATTGACCCCATTTAGGACATTGGGTGGGGAAACTCGGGTGGGTGTGCGGTGGAGGTGAATGTTTGTGAGAGTTTATGGGCTCTTTGTTTAGTCTAAAAAATATAGTGGCTATTTAATGTCATGAAAAAGGCATGATGTCTGCATTCAGGGCAAAACAATCTGCCCTCCCTTTTTCCAGTATCAGTGCAGTGTGCTTAGAATCTGTTTTTTTCAGTTGGACATTATACATATTAGTAGGTCCTCCCCAACCTGTTCCATTATATTTTAGACTCAGAATTTATCGGTGACTTCCACTGAAATACCAAATGATAATACTGCTCTGCAGAGGAAATCTTTGTATTAAATAGATGAACAGGTAATCTGAGGAGTATACCCTGCTAGTATAAATACCTGTGGAGCATGCTACTATATGTCACAGAACAGGATCTGCAGTAGTACCCTTATGTACCGTAAATTACTTCTGGAAATGTTCAGGTGTACAAATGAATAAATCTTATATAGAATCTGCTTTAGAGTTTATTATCCCTCAAAGAAATTTAATTCATGCACATTGCTTGTACATTGTAACGCATTGTTGACAGTGAAACACAAAAACAGGCCAAATTTCACTGAAGTATGTAACCTCAGAGACTAGGGAAAGTGTATAGGCTTCTGAGTGCTTGGGGTTTGCCTTTACCATGAGTTGGGTTAGCAAGGCTTTTTGGACAAAATTCAAAGGAACTCGATGTGGAAAAAGCAGTAAAAACCTACTAAAGTACAATCATCAGACTGCCAAACAAAAAAACATACTTTGCAATTGAGAGTTGCCAACATGTTACTGTTTACATTTTTATAAATGGGAAATTTCTTCATATTGCTGCATTTCTTATACAGTTTACAAATCATGTTTTCTCTTTTTCATAATAAATATGTTTTGACCAATCATTTTCTATTTATTATGTATCATTTAATTTGGTGGATCTGCTAAAGTTGGTTTAAACAGTCAAGTATTTGTTAAACAGGAATGGTTTCCTGTACTGGTGTTCCTAAGCCTGTATCCAGGAGCATAAGCCTGGGCCTGTTCCTGATGGGATTCGAGATACAGTCCATTACAAGGGCACTGAAAGGCCCAATCCCAATACCCCCACTTAGCCCTACCCCTTAGCCCTACCCCTCCGTTTTGTGGCTGGTTAACGCGACCTGTGAAGTCAGCTTCGGAAGGGAGGGCCCTTGAAATCTAAGGGCTAAGGGAGGAGAAATAGGATTGGGCCAACTCCCGGAGATCAGACAGTTCTGAACGGGCACATACTGCATATTTACCTTGAAAATGACAAGTCCATCACCAGAACCATTTGTGGAGTTCACAAGGCCTTTGGTGAATCATATTCACTGAAACCAAATGATCTGCAGTCAATAACCAACAGGTTCATGACATTCCAAAACCTCAGTCGCGATAAAGAACGATTTGTGGAATTCTGTAACGAAACATTTAAATTTCCCTCTAAATCAACAGCTGCAACAGAACTTGAACCGAATGAAATGGCAGTTGCAGAACCTCAACCTGGTCCTTCAAGTGTGCCAGACTCTGATCATAGCGAGCTACTGGCAGTTACTGAATCTCCAAGTGTACCTGTTTCTGGGCATAGTGAGTTTGTCACCCAAGTCTCTTATAAGCGTGGAATGGGAGAACTCACGCCAAAGAAAGCTAAAATGAAAAAAAGGCTTGATTTTGTGGCAAAAATGCGGAGCTCTGAAAAAAAACAGTATGTGAAACGCATAAAAGATCTTAAAGACAAACTTGATGTTACAAGATTTGCTAAAGTTAAGTATTTAAACCAGGAAATTCAATGAAAGAAGCATTCAGTGACAGTAAAGGATGCACAAATAACTTTGTTGAAAAAACAGTTAAAAGACGCCAAGTACGGGAATTGTAATTGTGATAAGACAGAGAAGGTGCCTGACTATGCGAAATTACGTCGCAACCATGAACGTCTAAAGAAAGCACGTGGAAAGATAAGGCAAAGTCATGCAAAGAATTTTGTTTCTATGGAGGTACATCTCAAGGTGAAGCAAGAACTTTCAAGGAAAGATGAGATTATCCTTAGTTTGGAAAACAGAATACTAGAACTGGAAGAAAGTTTGCAACAATTAGCTCAGAAGGACGAAAAACTAACAAAAAAGGATGGGAAGACATACAGTTTAGAAACACGCATGAGAGTGTATGATCATATTGTCAACCAAGTGCCAACAAAAAGTATTCGGCTTCTAATTGAAAGTGATGCCAAAAGGTCAGGAGAAAAATTAACCTCGATACCTCAGAGGTCTGCCATTGATCAGATGGTACAAGAACTTGATGTAATTGCTGATCTCAAGGCAGCAGAGTGGGTCATGAAGAAACCAGGCTTGACGTTAGGGTTCGACCCAGGAAGGGACTCACATTAACTCGATACACTTGACATCAAAAGAGGAATGTGAAGTGGTGGACATTGATGAGCTTGCTGGCGGGACTGCTGATGATTATCATGATCATGTGACACATTCTATTGACAACCTTGCCAGTGTCTATGCCGACTTCCACCAGGAGGACTATGGATATACCAGATCCACCATGGTAAACAACATTTCAAATACGATGACAAACAGAGTTGCTGTGAACCATGCAGCCATCCAGAAAGTGAATGAGACATGGGGAAAAGTATTAAATGAACTTAATTGCCACCTTCATCCCCTAGATACCATTGCATCCACATGTCGCTCAGCATTAAAAGGTCTGGAGTCCACAAGAGGTCATCTATTTGGAAAGGATTCTATGGCAGGCAATTTAGTGCTTCAGATCAATAAATTCCGCTATAAAGATGGGAAGGGAGACCCTAAGGGTTTTAAAACATTCCTTGACAAAAAGAAGCTATCACGTGGTCTAATCCCTAGGTACCGTGGCAATCGTTTGCACGTCCTTTTCCATATTTGTGGAATTCTGTATCAGCACTATGACACATTTCTTGAATTCTTCACTATTGGAAGTGTTTCTTGTGGGGGCCTGCAGTCAAGTATTAGACAGGATTTCCAGAATCCGACTGCAATATTAGAAATCCAAGGTCTTGGGCTCTTAGGCAAGTTGCTCACTGGCCCATGGATGCAGATGTTCTATACATCAATGGACAGTGACGTAAGCCATATTGATGGCATTCGGACTGTCAAGGATGTTGTGGCTTGTTTGAAACTTGCCTCTACAGATCCACTTGTGATTCTCACCTGGTCTACAGACTTCTTTGGGCATCCCCTGAGTGCTAGTGATGCAACTCTTGACAAGCTGAGAGTTTGAAGAGGAGGATCTGGCAGTAAGGAAGAGTTTGGAGTCATTGTAAAGACATGTCTGAATGCAGTCATTGCTGTTTTGGAGCGCCAGTATAAACGCTATTTTGAGATGGAACTGACCAGTGCTCTTGAAGAGGAAACAGCTTTAGCCCGTCTGCACAACATAGATGCGGAAGAAATTATGGGGATGTACAGCATTGAGAAAGAGAAGTCGAAAAATGCCAGAATAGACTTCTTAAGAGCAAAGATGAGGGCTAAAAAGAACCGTGTTGTGCCAAAATCCTGCATACTTGGTATGATGAGGACAATAGTTCAAGAACTGTATACTGTGGTAAAATTGAAAAGCAGAAAAAA